AATTAGCCGTTAGAAGATGATTAGGATTAACCACTTTTCAATTCCTTTTGGTTAGAAAATGATTAGGATTAATCACTTTTCAATTCCTTTTGGAAGTGTCATATCAAATGACATTTCACAAGAAAAATCTCCTAGGTCTGAACAACGCCTTCGGAAAAGAGGTAGGTAAAACAAGATCCCCACACGGGGGAATTTTATTTTTCCGTCTTGTTGGGTCGCTTTGTTTCGATTCTCAGTTGGTTGATTCAATTGATTGTTGCTGATGCTATTAGAAGCGAACAGCTTTCATCCCTCCCAGAATAATGAAATTTGTAATTCGTCGAATTGACCTGTGAACTTTGGATGCGCCATTCATTCGGTTATCGTTCTAACTGTAGGCTTTTGAATAGCCTGAATAGCTAATGACCTCCACCGACTCGTCTAGTCGGCTTCCCTGTCCTTACAAACATGATTGCAACCTAGAAAGAAGAGAGGAACAGATCGACATGAGCTGAACTCGATCCTGAGATAGTGGAAATCAGGACGACTTTTTCTGCCAACCCATGAGCTCATTTTCACTCCACTCAATGAAGTTTTGGACGGACAGATTCGGAATAGCTCATTCGTCGCCGAACAAACATCGGCCTTTTACGTCGCCATAAAATACCCCACACTCAGCAAATGAATTCAGCGTCAGCTGACTTTCCTCGTAGGCTTTTTATAGCCTTTCAGAAAGGTCAGTATGCCAGTGTTGCAAACAGAGCCATACATTAAGCCCTGAGAAAAACAAAAAAGTCTGAGATTTCTTTACACAAAACTGACTCGAAGAAGACTCAATACTGCCAGGTCTCCATCGTATCTTCAGAAAAGAACGGAATCGCTCTTTGGAGAGTAAGGAAAAGGTTTGATTGATCAATCCGCGGAGAATCATTTGGGATGAGCCATCATTCAACGTTCATTCGAAACCGAAGTGATTTTTGAGCATTTTGCACTTTTATTATGCAATATATCCCTATTACCTGATATTATTGTACGGTAATCTTTGACCTATATTTACAATTTATATTGTAGTTTCGCAATTTGATCTTGAGGAAGTACGGTAGAGAGCTGAGTTGAAAGTCTGTGATTCTGATTCCCTATATTTCTTTCACCGATCTGTCCAGATCAACTAAGCCTTCCATCCCTCCGAGGTCGGTTAATTGGCACCAGATTCGTCTGGGAGGATAAAAGCACTGTCTTACACATCGGCTGGCCACCGCAAGTCATTGTATAGGCCACATGCGCATTCAATCAGCCGATACAATTCTGAATGGGAGTCGAATGCGTGGGCGCAACCCTTAGACGGGATTGATCAACGCCCCAAGACTTTCAGACATTATTCTTTCACCAATGAACAGATCCCGAATTGTTGAGGAGCTTAGAGAGCCTGAGTGAAGGCTCATGTTCAGGGGATGAGAGATCCAATTCATGGACTATGAATGCAAACGCGAGCTTCGATGTTTTGAGGCTCCAATTAATTTTGATCTTTCAAATGTAAATATGTCATAGGAGGTTTTTTTCAATTCTTGTTCATCAATCTTTCTCTCCTGTTGTTAGTCAAATCGACGGGACCTTCCACGTTCGGAATATCGCGGAGAATAAGCGACCATAGATGAGCGGTCGATAGCTTATTCAAGCTGTTCCCATAGAAATTCCGTGGGTGGATAGGGAAACAAATCCATCTATATCCTGTGTAGTGCTCGTACATAATTCTCACGAAGGTGCTCAAACCTTCAGAGGACACATACATCCAGCAGAATCCTTCCAGTAATTCCGAGTGGGTGAAGGTGATATGAGGTAGTATCTCGTATTTTTTCCATTCAACGGGGTTATTTTTACCCTGGGTGACTCCTACTTGCAGTTTACACGCGAAATATTAGCGTTTTCGAAGGAATCAGATTCTAGAGAAACCAAAACAAAGTTACTATACTCTTATAGACTCCTTCCTGGAATGCGCCACACCTTCTTCATCTACCCAGAATCTAGGCGATTTTTGAATATTCGGCTTATCCAGCAAATTATGGAATGCTGAAAAGGGAGTTAGCCTAGGGTTCTAACAATTTTCGCAGCCACCTCGTTTTGAGACCCATTGAACGGGTCTGGAAAGGTGATTTGTGGTCAGCCGGAGCTTCCGAGGATTCGATCCGCTGAAACGGTACTCGGTGTGGGACCTTCGTTCGGGATCATGCACGTGATTGCCGATCCACCAATCATTACTCTCTCCCCGTCTTTACTTTTTCCTCTGTGGTATCTCCTTCATAATTGCATGATTGATGGCAAATTTACTTGTCATTATTCTTTCCTACCGTATACATTAACAATTACCAATTAGATGGTATACTGTAAGCACAATTTAATGTACTTTTAACGTTTTTGTTTTAATTGATAGGCCA